AAAAAAAAAAAGGCTCTCAATTATCTCAATTTCATGTGCCACTTATGTCCATGTTTTTTTAACTATGCATGATTGGACCTGCAACCTTCCCACCCATTGAGAAGAATGTAGAATAAAGCTTTATGAAACATTAGTTGTGAATGGAAATAATTTTAGTTAAAATTGGATGATGAAGCTAGTCTTTTCATAACCACCTTATGGATTGCATTATATATCAAGTCCTTCAAAGTATTATGCTTTGTAGTGATTGTCTGTTCCTGTTTGGTATGATTTTGAGATTATTGTTCTGAAATAATTTGAAGATTGGAGAGACTTGCAATAGGTATGGATGCATCCGTAAACACGGCTCGTAAAGCTCAGTTTTGCTTCTTCATTTGTTTAATCGATCTGGGCTGGACCGGAACAGCTAATCGAGCTTGTAACTAAACATGTTAAGCCGACGTTGTTTCGCAAATAGTTTTTTTTTTTTTTTAATATTCATTCATGGATTTTAAATAAAACAATTAAGCTGAACTCGCACAGGCGAGCATTTCGTTTGTGTTTCCGAACAGTTCGCTTAGGTGTTAGTTTCATTGAACTGAATGAGCCCAGTTAAGTTGATATTTCACGAGCTCGAGCCAAACCTTTTGTTTATATTTTATAAAATGAGCCGAGTTGAGTTGATTCGATTATTGCACGAACACGGGCTCAAACCTCGAACTACTCTGCACCATTCGGCTCGAGTATCACTCTTATGTATTTACATGTTTGTTCTGTTTATAAAAGTTTCTATCGTTTTGGAAAAAAGAAAAAAAAAACTTTTATTTACATAGATTTTGAAGTTTTATTTATCTAAATAATAATTGGTGAATTGTTTTCCCAACTAAAATTACAAATCTTAATATTATACGTGCAATTTTTTCTCCTGAAAAGTGAAAAACATGTTAAGGAGTGACGTGACTCAATTTTTTTTTTGGTACAGGGACCTTCCGGTTTCTGGATCCGCAGGGGAACCGACTAATCCGGAATCGAGCCGGGTAGGACCATAAGGGCGGCAAAACTCTCCCTCAAGAGTTTTAACACTACTGCATTCTCAGGGCTCGAACTCGAGACCACTGGCAATTTTTTTAATTGATGGTACGATTTTTTTTTATTTTTTTTACAATACGGATTTTCCCTACTGATAACAACGGATTATTGAGAAAGTAGTTGTGATTGGGACCAATTTGTTCTTTTGGGAACGCCAATCGCGCCATCAAACTTCGTCGTTTAATTATTTGACAGCAAATAAACACAAAGCTGTATTCATTTTCGTCACTTTTA